AGGGAAGGGGCCGGGCCGGGGGTGGCAGCGGGACCCGAGGGTGCGGGCCGGGGTGGCAGCAGGTCTCCGGAGTACCCGCCGGACCAGGGGCGCATTTTCGGGGCAGCCGCCCTCGGGCTCCGGAACCGACATCACCTGCTGCGATCAGCCGTGACGCAGCTGCAAGTGGCCTTTAACCGAGGCCCTTTGAAATTTCCTCGGAACCGACCTTCAGCTGCGTGTAGTTGGCATTTCTCTGGGTGTATTAGTCTCTGAAATTTGGATAGAAGCCGCGGCCGTATCAATCCAGAGGCCTCATGTGGAATTTAATTGGGATATTTTTGTCTATAGTTTGAATGAAAAAATTGCAGTGTCATTGAGGTGACAGATGTTATGCAGACTACTTGTTGGGATACAGAGACGGAATGTTAGGTCATTTCCCCAATCCGAGCACCTTCTGCATGGTAATATATGCCAGTCTGGCTTCCTGGCTCCCAGGCGGCAGGTGACGGTACTGGGGCTGCCTTACCCAGTGGGCGAGGCCGGAGCGGCGTGGTGCGGGGGTGTGGGCGGCATCTGAGGGAGGACAGGTCTCTGTCGGAACCGCCATGTTCCCACCCAGCCTCCCGGTGCCAGGGCCCTGCGCGCCGGCTGGTCTTCCCTGGTCGGTCGCACCCACGGGTCTGCCTGGTCCGCGGAGGGAGCCCAGACCAAGCACCAAGGGCCTCCGACCCAGCCAGCCATCTGCTCCCCGATCCGCGGTGCCGCCCTTCCTGCTGCCAGTTCACAATGGAATCTGCGCCTTCACCAGGGATCAGCTCCACTCATGCCCCAGTCCTGTCTCCAGACTCCTCCCTTTCCCTCTCAACCCATCCCCCATGAGCTAAGTGGCTAGAGGCCAGTACGGATGCCAGGGCCATAAAACTGAACACTTGGGGGGCTGGGTGGGGCTTGTGCCAGGAGACATTGATTCCCAATGCAGCCACAGGGTGGGATCCAATTGGGTCTGAATCTTGCCAAGACCCATCCATCAGCCTGGACACTGGGACCTCAGCCCTGCCTGGGGGTGCCAGCCTCCCCAGCACCCACAGCTCCTCCAGGGGACCTGCTGTGCCCACCCTCCTCCTCAGGCCCCTCCCAGCTCTTCAGTCTATCCCCATCACATGGCCCATGCTCTGCCGGTTTCCAAGCCCCTCAGCAGCCTCTGCTGGAGGGACAGGGGTGCTCAGCTACCTGGTCTGTCTGGGACTCCTTGACCATCTGACCCCTCTTTTTCCAGGGGCTTGACCCTGGGAGTTTGGCTCTAAGGGAAGGTGGCCTAAAGGATTTTGAATTCACACCCTTTGTGGTATTTCAGTGAGCTTCCCGGTTCATTCAATGAACCGGCTGAGAATTGGGTGGGTCTTGTGCCTGCCTTTGTTTGGGGGCCATCAGCAGTACCTGCAAAAAAGAAACTGGTACCGAGCCCTTCTCTTCAGAGCTCTCTGTGGGCAGGTCTAAGTCCAGCTCTTCCTCCCCGCAGGTAACAAGTACGTACCTCGGGCCATCCTGGTGGACCTGGAGCCGGGCACGATGGACTCAGTCAGGTCTGGACCATTCGGCCAGATCTTCAGGCCCGACAACTTCGTATTTGGTAAGTTGTCGTGATCAATGGGAACTGGCTCAGTTAATCTTCTTCTTCCTAAACACTGTGGACATCAGAGTTTTTTGTGTCGCGTGCCAAGGTGGACACTGTGTGTCCACAGAGCCCTTAGTCGTGGCCTCGTTCCACCCAGTCCACAGGCCATGACTGTCCAGACAGCTCTAAGAGCACTGTCAGCCTACAGGGGCTGTGGTAGGTAGTCCCTGAACCACAGAGCAGCCTGTGAAGGGTAAGGAATGAAGGCGATGAACAAGCCCATGGGAGTTACTAGGCTACTGGTAAGTTCAGAGGGCCCGTCACAGTAGGTGGCCACTCCAAGAAGCAAAGGCACAGGCGTGAGCACCTGCTTAGAGCCCATGTTCTCCTCTGATCTCATTGTGCCTTTGTTCTTGCCTGGTAATGGGGCCTAACTTAAGTGTTGTTGTTTTTTTTTGTTTGGTTTTTTTTTTTGGGGGGGGGGGAGTAAGAGACCATTTATTAGGTAAATTACAGAGGTATTAAAAGTAATTCCCAGAAGGAATTGGTTTAGGAAACAAGTTATTCAGGTAAAGGAAAGGCCCTTAGAGCTTGGAAGTGAGGAAGCTAATGGTAAAGTGCCTGGTGGCGGGAGGGGGAAGGAAAGAGAAAGATAGTGCAGGAGGCGTTCCCTTGAGGGACTACACACTGGGTCCTTCATCCTAAGGGTTTTAAGGGTGGGGATTTTAGGAGAAGTCCCAGGGGTAGATCTCAATAGAATATAGAGCAGCTTTCCAAGTGTGTCCTTTCAGGGTTGTGGTTTCCACTGACTGGTGGGCACCAGGGCAGGGGGTCATTATTCCATGCAGCTGGTCCTGAAGTCAGCTGTGGCTGCATTGGTTGCTTATCTGGTCCTGGAGCTGAAATACAACTGAGGCTCAGATGTTATTTTCAGGGAGGAAAAGTCAGGGTGTCCAAACCTCAAGACCAGAGTTATGCTAGAGGAAAAGTCACCCTGAGGGCCACGTCCCACCCTACAATTGATTGTCCACTGTTAGATGCCCGGGGCTTTAAGTATTTTGATTTTAAATATATTTTTATTGATTTCAGGGAGGAAGAGAGCGAGAGAGAGAGAAAAACATAAATGATGAGAGAGAATCATTGATGGGCTGCCTCTTGCATGCCCCACACTGGGGATTGAGCCCTAAACCTGGGCATGTGCCCTGACCCAGAATTGAACCAAGACCTTCTGGCTCATAGGTTGATGCTCAACCAGTGAACCACCTTAGTTTTGGCTAAGTTTTTGGTTTTTTTAATTCTCATCTGAGGATAATGTTTTTATTGATTTGAGAGAGAAACATCGATGTGAGAGAGAAACACCAATCCTTTGCATCCCATATGCGCCCCCAACAAGGGATTGAACCCAAAACCTAGGTGTGTGCCCTGACAGGGTATAAGGGACAAAGTTCCAAACAACTGAGCCTTAATTTAAGTTTTATATAATGTTGTCATTCTTAAATTCTCTGTCCTTAAGAAATAGTTTTGTTCAACTAATAACCTCGTTTGAACTAAACTTATTTTATTATGACCTCCAGCGTTTTTCAAGGTCACTGATATAAATTTTCATAGATGAGAAAAGGCATCTAGTGCAGAGTCAAAATGGCAGAACTCTGAATTCCTTACGGTTCCCTGTCTAATACTCTCCTTTCTCTCTGGCAGGCCAGAGCGGGGCCGGGAACAACTGGGCAAAGGGCCACTACACGGAGGGCGCCGAACTGGTAGACTCAGTCCTGGACGTGGTGAGGAAGGAGTCAGAAAGCTGTGACTGTCTGCAGGGCTTCCAGCTGACCCACTCGCTGGGGGGTGGCCCGGGTCGGGGGATGGGCACGCTGCTCATCAGCAAGATCCGGGAGGAGTACCCAGACCGCATCATGAACACCTTCAGCGTGATGCCCTCGCCCAAGGTGTCGGACACGGTGGTGGAGCCCTACAACGCCACGCTGTCCGTGCACCAGCTGGTGGAGAACACAGATGAGACCTACTGCATCGACAACGAGGCCCTGTACGACATCTGCTTCCGCACCCTGAAACTGACCACGCCCACGTACGGGGACCTCAACCACCTGGTGTCCGCCACCATGAGCGGGGTCACCACCTGCCTGCGCTTCCCCGGCCAGCTGAACGCGGACCTGCGCAAGCTGGCCGTGAACATGGTGCCCTTCCCCCGCCTGCACTTCTTCATCCCCGGCTTCGCCCCGCTCACGGCGCAGGGCAGCCAGCAGTACCGGGCCCTCTCGGTGGCTGAGCTCACCCAGCAGATGTTTGATGCCCGCAACACCATGGCTGCCTGTGACCCCCGGCGCGGCCGCTACTTGACCGTGGCCTGCATCTTCCCAGGAGAGAT